CCAATTGCATCTCAGCCCCTGGAAACTCAGAGTCTCAAGGGAGTGAGTATCAATCCTGTAAGCCCCAAATATGAACTCTCTGATGGGAGGAACTACAGAGAGAGGCCTTGATGGGCAATCAGCCTGCACCAGTTGCAGAAAGAGAAGCTGCTCTCATGTAAGTAAAACAAAGCACATGACATTTTTCAACATTAACAGAGAATCGTCTGAGTATGTTGAAAGTGGTGGAGTGGAATGATCAGAGCCAAAGTTCCAGCAAGTTTCATTCCAAGACAAGGAGGAATCATTTTATTGACGGTAACTTAATGGAAATGGAGTGAGGGGACCGAATTGGGCTGTGCTGCCTGAGAAAAGAAGTGAATGAACAAATGATAGCAGAATTGAACCATTGCATGAATGGATAAATGAATGGACAAATTAATGACTAAATATTATATGCTTTTAATGTATTATTTGCATGTGTTATTCTGATCAACTGTTGAGCACTCATTCATTACTGGCCCTTTGCTGAGAAGTTTACATAAATCAGCTCATTTGAACTTCACATCACTACAAAGCAGGCTTTAATTCTTTCCCTCCTTTCACCTTTCTTTTTTAAACAATTAAATCTACTTCAAAAAGAAAAATTACAGAAGTTTACAAGGTTCATGATTTCTCTGTCTCCCCACTGCTTGCCCAAGGATAACCATCAAAGCTTGGTGTGTATCCTCCTGAGCTTTTCCACAAACCCATAGAGAAAGACAGAAAAATAAAGAGTGAGATTGAAGCATAATTTTATTTTACAAAGGTCCCCATTATTCATAGTATTCTGTAACTTGCTTTGCTCATACAAAAATTTGACATGGGTGCTTTTCCATAGCAGTACATTTTATCTCATACTTTTGTGTATTAATCCATAATATGAATCTACTGTCATTTATTTAACCATATTTCCAAATGTTGCTATTATAAATAATGTCAAAATGAACATCACTACCTCCTAAAAAATTCTGTGACTCTGAAGAGAGTTACATTCTTTGTCTATATAGCATGGTAGAACTAGAATTCAAATCCAGGTCAGCCTATTTCCTTTTCACTACACAGTTCTGAGTATAAATGAAGCTTCAGAAACACTGGAACTCAGTATAGGTTAAGCACATTCAAAACACTCAGGTAATGGGCCATCTATTTCACAAAATTAATTTGGTTAGCAAATGCCCTTGTTATAGACCAAACAAAGAATCTCATACTGAGTAAAACCATGCGTAACAAATAGTGTGTGTGTGTCTGTATGCCCCTTGGACTTGTTTCCTTAGCTCTTGAAAAACGTCCCTGATAATGTCATATATTTTATTTAAATTCAGAGTGATTAAATTGATATAGTAAATGCCATTACCCTATCAAGATTCTAGTTTTAAGTGGACCTCTATCTAGCTTCCTCTGAAAAGCACCGTTACCCACTGGATGGAAGCCTCCTTGAAAGAACTGCATTTCATCTATTTTACAGCAAATTTACCTAAGGAGGCAACTTACACAAACTTCATTTTTTATATTTTATTTTTAATTGACATATAATAATTTTGTGTGTGTGTGTGTATGTGTATATGAGATACAATGTGATGCTTTGATCTGTGTCTATATTGTGGAATAATTAAATGAAGCTAATTAACATATCCATCACCTCACCTACTTAGCATTTTTTGTGTTAGGAACATTTAAAATCTACTCTTTTAGCAATTTTGAAATTTACAACAC